AACTACCTACTTTTAATTGTTTTTTCACTCATCGCTCGCAAACTGTTCGTGACACACGACTCGCATAGTTAATTATAATATATATATACCATGTGGAGTTTTCCGTTTTGCGAACGGCGCGTAGCAAATGTAAGTGGCATGTGATTATAATATATTATATTATAAAGAACGGTGTTAATTATTTCGAGAATGTAACGAAATATTCTTAATTTAAAATATTCGTCTTAAATTACGGGGCCGACACTAATGAGCAGCAGAGCAATGGGAATGTCGCATGTGGGCGTGTGTGTGTATGTAACGTATGATATGGGTTCAAACGCAAGGTAAAATAAAAAAGTTCTACTAGCAAAATGCAAAATATTTTAAATTCTAGTGAATTCGAAATAACTAAAATATATGTAAAAACACATACCTACCTAATAATATAATTAAATATAATGGACGATAAATATCAGAGAATTGACTCGAATGACTTTACGCGTAGTTGAAAAAAAAATTCTCAAGGCTCAACTGAATGTGAAAAACAAAAAAATTGAAATTTTATCTGTATCATGCTTGAACCGCGTGGACCGTCGCGCAGTCCAACCGGATGTTACTCGAAAGTCAAAACATGCTCAAATATTATTATTATTAGTGTAACGTCCGCCGTAGCAATGTAGCTCCTGCCACGGTAGATTTGTAACATATTTTATTGCGTTTACATAGATTATAAATTCTGGTGAATTAAAAATAATCAAAAATAAACCATAAATATAATAAAGATATTATATTGATTAATAAATATTAGATAAGCGATGCAACGACTTGACGCGTAGCGTTGCTGAAAAAAACCGTTCCGGAGGTGATAAACTTACTGGGTGAGAAAAAAAAAATACAAGAAAATCGAAATTTTATCTGTGCCACAGGCCGCCTTTGTCCAACCGGATGTTACTCGAAAGTCGAAACATGTGCACATATCATTATTATAACGTCCGCAGTTGCAATTTTTATGCGCCCTCCGTGGATTGTCATCGTAACTTTTTATTGCTTTTACATTATTGTTTTTGCTCTTGAGCAGAGAAAACCAACACGAAAAAAGTCCCATATAATGTTTATATTATTATTATTATTATTATTATTATTATTGTTGGGTATATAATAGTATAATGTACGTATACTCGAGCGTGGACCGGAAACGACATTAATATTTTCTCATCGTCGTTGTGAAAACAAAAACTGCGATGCACGTTACTATCATCGGTGGTGCCGGCGGTAGTTGCTCTGCTGTCGAAATATGAAATATTTCATATTTCGTCCTAAAAAAACCGTCTGTAGTTGTACTTGTGCCTTACTGCCTTGACAATTCTATAACTACGACTTCAGAGGTGGATGCAGTAACCACGTCGCGTAGTCCTAAACTTCCAGCACGCATGGTTAAAGCGTATAGCGAATAAATGTCGTCTCGTGTGATACGATAGTAACACAAATTATTAATATCGTTTTCGCGTATTGTTTTACAATGTACGATATCATAATATTATATTGCATTTTTTCCCCATAGTAGTTATTATTTTAAATGAATATATCGCCATGCGATAACATAATATTTTGAATATTATACGAGACGACACGAACGAACATTTCAATATTATCATTCTTATTATTATTGCTAGCTGTTGAAGTAGATGATGCACGCAATCCTTGATTTCAGGCTCGTAATAATTTATTTTACTAACGAAATAATGCAATAAGAAACTATTTCCATATTGGAAACAGACATTATGTATTGTATATTTATTTTTTTTCACAGAACACCTCCATGTATCGTATACAAATAAATCACGAGTTTTCAATAGAAATGCGCAGTTTTTAATAATAATAATAATAATAATAATAATGATTGTGTAGGTATACAATTTATTGATCGCAACGCAGTTTAAACAGTACAATAATTGAACGATAATAATATAATTGAGTTTTAAGATATAAAATTTATTATTCAAACAGTTATATTGTACTCGATCAATTAGACATATGGTTATACAGTGTGTCCCAGAAGTCCCTTATCACCCTTAGTATAATCATGGCAAATCAATATATTTAAATGCAGGGTTTTTTACAGTAATAAGTATGGAAATTCTGATTGAATAGCGTAATATTCGATTTTTTTTTTCAAAAATTTAACAATTATCAACAAATTTTTTTAGGAAAATAAGTTTTTTAAATTTCCAAGATAGCTATTTTGTTGATAGTATTTTTAAAACAATTCAAACAAAAAATATTAAAATTGGATGAAAATCGCCCAACTTAGAGCTAATTATTATTTTTCATTTTAGCCGAAAAATCAGCGTGATTGTAATAATTAACGTGTGAATCGTATTTTGATAAAGCCTTATGCATATGTAGCATAACTATTATTCTTCAAAATTCAAAATAATAATTAGCTCCCTAACTTTTGAAATTTTCATTACATGGTTTTAATATTTTTTTTTTTTTTTGAACTGTTTTAAAAATATGATCATCAAAATAGCCATCTTGGAAATTTAAAAAACTTATTTGCCTAAAAAAAATGTTTGATTATTTTTGAATTTTCGAAAAAATAAAATCCAATATTATGCTATTCAATCAGAATCTCCATACTTAATTACTGTAAAAAAAAAAAACTGAGTTTAAATATAGGTATTGATGTTCCATGGAGATACTAAGGATGATACGGGACTTCTGGGACATACTGTATACAATATACAATTTAATGTGTAACTATAGACGCAATGGTAATATATTTTAATATTATGTACAATTTCAAAATATAAAATACTTATATAATACAACAATAGTCATTAATATAATGTAATTAGTTAAATTAATTATTTAACTAAATCGAGTGACACTTTTTACTTAACCTAAATATGCAAATTGCACTGGAAATAAATTTACATTTTAATTTTAAAAGAAAGAGATCACCACAATTATTCGCTATTATGCGTCAATTCCAAAACGAGATTTATTTGTAGTGTTTTGAATTATAAATCGAAATAAAATATCAATTTGTACAGTTTTCATATTATTATTATAATAATATATTATACTGTTATATTCATTCAAAACCCATCTTTAGGTGACTATATATATTATTTATTATATAATATATTACTATCGTGTGCGTGAATATAATCATTTTCAATATTATATGTATAATAATATATACGAGAATTGAAATAAAATCATCTACGATAAAACGCACCGTATACAGTCAAATTGTCAAATTGTCAGTATAAAATATAAATTATATTAAATTCACTTACTACTCCAAGCGATATGCGTCACATCCACAACTGTGATCCATATTTAATTATGGAACATTAATATTATCTAATATCCGTGTGCATGCATAGACTGCAATTTATATGTCACATAAGACATAGTTTAACATGTCTTATGTGACACATAAATTTACTATTCATACGGGCATAGGTCTATTTTTGTGTTTTGGAATAAAAAAAAATTGTGAAACTCGTACATTGTTCAATAGGTATGTAATTGCTATTAGGTACATTCTCGAATACGGTCCCCTTATGGCTTATTTTATAAAACTATATTATATTATATTTAATTTCATAAATATAACTTATAGAAATAGAGATGTAAAAAACCTACTTATCTTAAAATGTAGATGCAAAATATAATAAAATGCACAATATATCGAATATTGAGCATAATCTAATATTTTGTTTACTATCGAACAAAATATTTTTATTTTATTATTATAATAGAAAATTTACAATCAGTAGCATGGTACAATAAGCAAATATAATATAATATAATATGAAGAGTAGCTTACATGATGACATTCTACGAGGAGGGAGGTTGTTTAGTGACCAGACCCTTAAAATGACCCTTAAAAATTGGGGTTCACAATAGTTCACAATATGCTATATATAGATACTTCTCTAAACGATGAATATTATAATTTATCAATCAATTCACTTTTTTTTTTTTATTCAATAGCTAATATCCTATAACTGAAAATGCATCATCATAGTATTTAGAAAATATTTGTACTTCTATCTTCTATAGAATCCATCTATATGTAACTATATTTCTCTCTACGAATATACTCGTATTAGTCCTACATATCGTAAAACAGTATACACGTTTTACATCAAAGAAATAAAACTTACCATCACGCTGTTATAAAAAATCGATTTCCCGAAAAACCAAAAAAAGGATAGCTCTGGTACTCCTGGGAGTGGTGGATCACAGTAATTTTTATTTTAGATTATTGGTTTGTCAAAATAAAATGAAAATATAGTTCAAAAATCACGTATAATTATTATGGAATATCCTTGATATTATTTATAACTTAAAAATAATGCGATAAAAGTTACTATAGATAAGACTAGTGGTTTTATGAGGCTCGTGTCACGACTTTAATATTATCATGGATGTTCATCGATAGCAGTTACTAGGGCCGCAATTCCGCAAAGCTACCTGCATGGCTGAAATAAAGTTGTCGGGCCGGAAATCACGGGTCTACGACGTCGTGGTAAACAACACAGCAGCCCGCTACCACACACACACAGCTATCTCGTTCAAAGTACATAATATATTACTATTCGCGTGCTTTCGTCACATGGCACGTACCGACACGATATTGTATTACGTACCAACGCGGGACAGCGGCCAAAGTCTTGGAAAACTGTCCGCCACCGTGTGCACACATATTGTATGTATTTTATACGCACTCGGCCACTGTATACCTACGTACCTACAGGGGGCGAATTCGCCACGGCGACCGTAATGTATCACTATTACATGTTCGTACGCCTTTGCCGCGACGAAGGACCTAGTCGAAGTCAGTGGTGGCCGTGCGCACACCCGCAGGGCCAATTTGTGTGACAAAGAACGTCGTTGCTGGGTAAGGGCGCCCGGCGGGTGGAGGCTGACGTGTGCGATCGAAAAACGATTTTCCAACGGGCGCCCACCCTCACCCACCCCCCCACCGCCGCTTCCAATCACTTTTATCGTTCTCTGGACCGTCTCCAACGGTCGTTGGCAGAGCACTGCGGCGGTGGTTCAAAGGTCGGCGCAATTCCTAAATTGGATTCGCAAGGTGCGCCAGGAGTGGGGCTGGGGGCGGGTCGGGTTTTGAACAAACCGTGCTGCTCACAAAAACAACCCCCACCTCCGTCGCCCGAAGGGTATATAGCTAGGTGCTGCGGCCGTATAACAACTATATATGCGTCTCTCGGCATTTTAAAAATAAATAAATGGACTAAATAAATAAATAAGTGATTCACTACAAACACGAACAGAACCCACCGATGGACAAGCTAGTCCAATATTATCTTATACATAGCTATACGAGTGAGTGTTACCGTCAGAAAATATGAAAAATAGTCGTTGCGGCTATAACGTCATGTTTTACAAACGTTAATAATATATTGATTATCGGATTAGGCTAAGGTAATTCGTACCAGGGACCATAGCGATTGTAACGATGACTCTAACCGTACAATAATATCAGTAGTAGTTAAATAATAAGCATATGACATTATATCGAGATCATAGATAATATAAGAATGGATAGGACATAAGAACTTATCACATGAAAATTTAGTGATACTATTTTTAAGGTTATATAAGGCAAATATTGATATGATAATTGATAAATAATAATAAATAAAATTTATATAATTTCATTTTGTTAAAATATTATTTTCCAATTTCCATTTTCCAGGCACAGGTGGCACAACAATCAAAATACAAACTGACAAATATCTAAATATAACTGACTATCATGTTATTATTATTATTATTTAATAAAATAGTTTTGCACATAACCTTAAAAAGCCTCATATAGTCTTTCTCTCTTTACGTTCTCTCTTCCCCAAAAAAGCACACGGCCTCATATGGAACTGGTATAGGCATGTCCTATCCATTCTTATATTATCTATGATCGAGATCTACTTAATATGCTTCAGACGCAACGTTCGCGTTTACAATGCCTAATTTATTAATAACTAATTATTGTTAAGCAATTGTTAATTACAACATTGTCCGTTTAAATTTCACTAGGTGATATTGCAGTATTTCGATGTACAAATTCTAACAATAAAATATTCTAATAATAAATTGTATTGTGTTTAGTTGTATACTTGATTTCGTATTAATATTAACAATAAGCCTCGTGGACGATCACACTTGCTCCACTGCCGCCACCCGGAAAACTGTGCGTATATTTCTGAGAACTGTTTTAAGGTCAAACAGTCACGGGTATCAGGGTGGATTTAATTCCGTAACGTACTATATATTATTCAATTTATGTTATTAATTATTACGATATTGACTGTAAGCGAAATTTTAATATTATTTAATGAACTGTATTTTTTTTTAAATTTTAAATTTTCAAAAGACTCGGTTTTTAAGAATATTATTTCTAGTCATTGTAATCATTACCCGCCTAAAATATCATCATTGACGGTAACATATTTACGCCATACTTACTGTGTTATATATCATGTGCCGCCGTTTCGTATAATTACGGTATAATGACATTATCATACAATGCCGCCATGTTTACCAATATATCATGTCCTCGCTGTTGGTGGTTGTAACTCGGTCGTCGGACTTGCCGTGCACTTCTGGATTCAAGTGAATCATTTTTAATCTAATTTAGTTTTCCCGTAACATAAACATGCGAGCATTACTGGAACCACTGCCATTATATTAGTATCCGAGTACAAGGACACAAAATTAAATATTTACTCAAAACCTTCCAGACTTCAAAATTGGCCTCCAAACTTCATATTACTATATAGTATATTACATACGAGTAGTTCAAATGTTTTAACATCATATACTATAAAATATGTTACTTACATTTTTGTGAATCTCATATCGTGCAATAAATTGTTATTGTTGGGAAAGTAACATATTATAATGAAACGATTTTTAACGAATGTATTATATTGTATCGATTTGTATTTAAACGTGTGCACAATTTTAGACAGGCCGAGACTGTTCTAAATTTAAATTTGATATAATAATCTGTCGATTTCAATCGATATAATGATTGTAGTGAATTTGTAATAAATAATATAATACGATGGTGAGTATCTGCATACAATGTACATAATATTATAATATATTAATGCATTATTTAATTTTCAGTATTAAAAAAATATTTGTAAAAACCGTTTAAAGGTTTATTAAAATCCAACTCAAATGTAATTTAATTTGTACAGAGCTATTTACAAATCTGCTTAGATATAATATATTATAAAAGGGTTAAACAATATTGTAAATATTTTGGACTTAATCAAAAATTCACATCACGCAGTATGTAGATACAGAAAATAACTTGAGAGTTCGATTCTTGAGATTCTTTATTATTAAAACGATAAGAGAAAAAGGAAAAATTTATATTTTTACGAGTAAATGTGATTTGTAGATATTTGCTTCTATTTCTCACTTGCTTCGCCTATATTTTTCGTCATTTTGTTTTATGGCTTTATGCATTTTGTTTATATAGCCTTACTTTATTCATTTTATGTAACACCCCGTTCTTGTCGTATTTGCTATACATACAGACACAAATCATAATATTTTCATTATTTCGTATAAATTAAGTACTTCATATTATTCCACAAAAATTAGTCAATTATAAATGCACAAAACAAATAATATGCACATAGTATGTTTCTCTCTAGTATAGTTATAATAATAAAATTATATATTATATTATAATGTACTCAGTGAGGACTACTCTAGACGAATTTGATTATGTTTCCGTTGTGTAGTTAGTAAACTAAACCACAAACAATAACCACCAAATTAATTTCCATTTTAATTTTTTTTAAGTAAGATTTACTTGAAGTGTATTTAATTCATTTGTATATTATATATTATATTATATGCGCATTTCCTAATGTTTATTTGTTTTATTTTGTTTGGAACTTGGCCTATGTCTATACGTACACAGAAATAGAGAAAATTGAGATCTATTGGTTGTCTGTCAATATTTTTATCACATGACGAAATGTATTATAGAACAATAATAATGATCAAGATTCATTAAAACCGTTTCGAATCCTGAAGTAATGTGAGTTAGAGGTTAAACAAAAAATATTATTCTTGAAAAGAAAATGAACAATCAATTTACCTTTTGCATAATACGTATCAGCTAATATTGTGTATAAAGGGTCGTATATCTTTTGAAAATTGAATCTATGGTTATAAATTATGTTAAATCAACAAACACGATAATAATATATGATAATATATTATATTATTATGCACACGAAGTAAATTCTTCTTCAACTCTATTTTCAAAACACGAGTATAAATATAATACGTATAAAGCTAAATGAAATGAACATTCGAACAATAAATTATGAGCTACCTATCTTTTCACTGTAAACGATTTACAGCTAAATATTTGTTCATTTTATTCGAAACTTTTGAAAATCAGTTTATCAGTTTTCTCGAGTGTAGAGTTACACGACTGGATTTAAAAAAAAAAATAACTTCTCGAAATAGCTGCGCGGACAGATTTTCAGCAGTAGCAAGTCGCTGAAAATAATAGTTGTTTTCTATTGTTGACAAACGGCTTGGTTAAACAGAGAGCCGTCTACTAGATTTCACGTCTTGTGTTCTTTTCGCTCCGTGACAAAACAAATCTTTATATATATATAATTTAAAGGGTCCTCTGATATATTTTCTTTTTTTTTGTCCGTTCGTTCCGTTTCGTCCCCGAAAACGGTTAAATTTTCTTATGGATTCAACAATACATACACCATATTTTATTTCATCTAATACTACTGCAGTCGTTATGTCAAGCCAACAATATTTTGTAACGACCTACCATATAGTATTATGTATTATTATTAATTCAAAAATATTAAAATTTTTATGCTGATATGTTTATATTCATGTTGTAAAGTATAATTATCGTCTGAATGAATATATATCAAAAGTATCTTGTATTGTTTTTTACTATAAATAATAAATAATAAACAGTATAATTTATTTTTTATTATTAAATGCATCTGTGGTGTAATTACAATGGCCATTTGAGATAACAATAAATGCAGTATAAGGTTGAAGTACTTAATACATAATATATAATATTAAGTACTTACATTTCATTCAAATTTTATATTTTATAGCACGAGTTTGGCATTTTGGGATATTTAAATAGATTGTTTGGAGCAGCTTTTGAGTGACCACTATATAATAATTATTATACTTTAATAAATGACAATACATACCTACTCATGTTTGTATCGCGAATCAACAGAAGTTATTTTTATATTTATTTAAATACGCAAGGAGTAAAATTGCAATAAGTTTCTTGCAACTAATATTCTTAAGGGAATACATATTTCATCGCATAAAGACAGTTTGATATAACTAATATGATTTATCAAATATTATATACAATCTTAATTTGGTAGTCGTATCAAAATAAAATAAGCTCTTTAAATGACTAGGGCAAGTGTCATAATGTACTATTATTTAAGTACCTAATTCAAAGCACTAAAGTGAGCACGAATTCTAGATTTATTTCTGGAATCAAACGTAGGAACTCTAAAACCAATTTTTGGTAACAGCAAGGGACATCTATGAATAACTTTGGCACAAATATAAGGTCCGAATACTTCCAAGTTACGATGAATAGATAATGATATTAGATCGATTTGGTTAGCATATCAAAGTTAGACGATATTTCATTAAAGCCCGAAAATGTATAACCCTAACATTAATTGTATGAAACGCCTTTGTATTTTCCCAATTTTTTTTATTTGACCACACTCAGGCGAACTTAATGTTTTACTTTTTTTTTACGAACTCCGATATTAATGTTTACTTTTTTGTTTGTTCCAGGTACAAAATAAACATTCAATCAAAACATATTTTTAATTAACCAATTAAGTATTAATACTATCGCAATCGAATATTACCAAGCCGGAACGAAGAACTAAAGTAAGTGTACATTGATATTTATATAAATAGTACCTAATTATTAATTAATAATGGTAAATATGAAAAAATAAATAAATATTTATATATATATATATATATATATATGTAAATCATCATCACGTGATAAGAATTTAAACCAATTATACGCTATAACAATATTACGTTCCTGTTCGATCAACGATTGACCTTCGGACAATAATAAATTACGCGACGTTTAATAAATATTAGATAATGAAATACTTGTATTTTAGAGTTAAAATAATTAATA